TGGTGGCTGCCCACTGCTTCACTGGGTGAATGGGTTAAATGCAGAGGAGCAATTTCCCTACAGGGACTAACACATACTCGTTGTTGTTGTTATTATTATTATTATTATTATTATTGTTGTTGTTGTTGTTGTTGTTGTTGTTGTTGTTAGGAACACTGAGACCAGGGTGAAGACACGACCTAAATGATCTTCAGATCTGAGTCTCTGCATTAGTCTTCTGGCATATGCAGCATGTGATGCAAAAACAAGTATGATGAATGAGACACCAGTGAGCTAACTGTTATCTGCACCTCTGTTAAAGTGCACTGAGAAGAATGATTTGTCATATTACATTTACAGGAAAAACAAACACATAAATCCGCTCGGGTGTCAAACAGCAGAATTATCAGGATTAATTCTGGGTGTCATGCACGAGCGTAGCACGAGTATCTGTATTCTTTTTAAATTCATTAAAGCATTCCTGTCTCTCCCTTCACCAACATCTCCTGCCTCCACCCGTCTCACAGGATGGACATGTTTTTATCAGCAGGCATAGATTTTACTTCACCTGGACCTGCCTCAGGCTGCAGACCCAAACCCCGACCAATCGAGGCCCTCGCTACTAAATCACTTTTACTGCTGCTATCCCATAATGCTGTCTGTGTGTGTGTGCGCGCGTGTGCTTTCCAGTGTGGATAAGAGAGAAGATGTGTGTGACGATTTAGACTTTGATGTGTACAAACATCAGTGCTCTTCTCATTTTTGTCTCCCTGGCTGTTTAGAGTGAAACTGAACATTTCGCCTGAGAAGAACTGAACTATTGATCGGTAGAAGGTAAAAAGGGGGACACAGTTATAATGCGATCATATGTATTTGACTTTATTGAACCGTTTTTATCTGGTGTAGTAGTAAACAAATAATCTTTGTTGTTTGCAGGAGTATTTGCAACTTTACATTATTTCTTCTTCTTCTTCTTCACTCGTAGTGACTGTAGTCATTCCTTCGGCCCTGTTAATTGTAACAAGCCACTGTCCCCTGTGAGAGAGAGCTTTATTGTACTCTTGGTACCATCTTGTGGAAGAAAACAGTTACTACAATTAACATTTCTGTCTCTGTCTCCTCAGAGATGTTCATACAGCAGGCCTGTGAGATAAAGTGAGCCCTCACCTTTGACCTGATTTTAACCATTTCAAACACTCTTCTGATGTAAGTTTGACCTGTCTGTCTGTCTGTCTGTCTGTCTGT